TATGTTGTTAGCAGATAGCTGGTGTTTCCATTTTTTATAATGCGTTTATTATTTTATTTACGTCTAGGTCCGCGACCAATATACTTACGAGTATTATACCTCTATATTAACTCGTTTTAATTTTAATGGTTGAGTATTAAAAAAAAAAAAATATTGTTGTCCTCGTTTTATGGGGTTTTTAATAAAGTACTCGTACGTGAGGTATCAATATGTTTTAGTAAGAGCTACTTAGAGTTTCTTTAACTTTCGTACAAACTTATAAGCAAACTAATTTTATTATTGTTGCCAACTCCACTTATATATTCAGCACGATTAACTAAAATACTCGTACATTCGATTTCCGAGAACACCGAGGAAACACCCAGCTCACATAATGCATAGCAAATGAGTTCGCAACGTGAAAGATTACCTACGGCTAACTGATTTCGAGAACGGAGCGAAAATTGTTCGAAACCACTTCCAAACACAAACTTTCGGAACTGCAATAACTCTCGACTATTTTGTTTATACCTAACATATATTAAATACTAAACTCGTCGGAAAACTGGACATGAAAGCGGTGCAGTCAAGAACAAAAGATGGGTTCTCGCAAGCCGTCGGACAATCAAAGCGAACGGCCCAATTGCGAAATAAAACGTACAAATAACAAGTTTAATTAAATCGACAGGAGAGCGGCCGGTAACTGCCGGGAACGGGCGGCGGAAACAATTCCCCTAACGATAGTTTAACAAGTGAACTCAAAGCTTCATATTGGACTATCGGCTGTTTACACGTTAGTCATAGACGTGTATAGTAGTAAATAAAAACACTGAAATTTAAGGTTGGATTGACAGATAAAATAGAAAACTAGACAAAATTAAAGCGTCCTTCGATGAGAAAGAAGGGACGGAGGAAGGAGCTTTTTGCGTCAAAAGTATTTTAAATTAATTGCTCGTAAACTATTACGATTATTGTATAGTGCGTATAGTCCATGGCTACAAAATGACTCGCATAGGTATTAATCAATGCCTTTTAAACAACAGTATAATTGCGAGAAGAAATTTGATGATTTTTATCGTATATATTTTTTTAATTCACGTCCTGAATAAACGCTTAAAAATATGATGTATTTTTTTATTATTATATTACCTCCACGAAAAAGGTTTCGCGCCCTCTTAGGTTATTTTATTTTTTTGCGAAGATGAAGTAGCCGTGGTTTCGTTCGCGTGGTCAAAGGGAACTAAGAGCTTTTTCCCGGTAAAAGTCTGTCCTCCAGTTCCCCAACTATGTCCATAATAAAGAAGGAGAAACAAACAGTCGCTTTCTCATTTATAATATTAGGTACTGATGGCATATTAATATGTAGAGAATAGGTATTTTATATAAAACTGTTTTTTTGTCCATGGTTGCTAACATATTGGTTTATAATATTGAACCTCAGAAAGAGGTGTAAACTTAGTAGTCAGTGAAAATAATTTTATGTTAGAAAGCAAGCAATCGGGAGTCTGATCGTGTTACATGCCACCCAATGTAACATGGATGATTTGATATTTTTCCCTTTTGCACGCAAAATTCCGGCCATATTGCATACGCCACACGGTGTTGCTTAAAACTCAAGACGATTTTAGAAATTTTTGGGTGATTTCCAATCTCGAACATTTACTATTTAGTTTTTGGCTTTGATTATACAATTTATAAATGTAAAATGAAATACATAGTTAGCTTATTATATGGAAGAGAAAATTCTAGAAGCAAATAGTATAAATGACAGTGATTATGTGGTTTGTGAAATTGTTACGGGGGGGATGTTGAAAGTTTTGCGGGAAGGTAAAATAAATCGGATACTTTTAAAACAAGTTTACAACATCTAATTAGTATTATATTGTTTTATTAATTTGATACAGTATATTTAAGTAAAAACAAGTTCTACTGGTTTTATTGTAGTCAAATTATTATTAATAATGTTTAGCTAAAAATTATAAGACGAATTCTTAAAATAAGTATTAGGTGCATTGTAGATGTACCTTAATATAATTTTCTCATCGCAATAACAATTATTTGTCACTTCCCCTAAAAGAAAAATGAAGATAAATAAGAGGAAAGGAGGTCCTTTCGCTTCAATCCCTTTGTAAGTGCAAGAAGGTCCTATCTTGTATATGAATATAAGTAGATTTAAGCTCTGTGGTATATATATTACGGTTGATTTCACTCGGAAAATACTGACGATTTCACACAAGAGTAATCCACAAATAGTAGTCTGAGAATAGAGCGAGGCTACTGGACACCGCCGCAATCATATCTCCAGACGGTGACGCGAACTTTTTGATGTTAACGTTTACTGTGACGCAAATTTTTCTGATATAAAGAGACTCTCTGTCTCCACTTTAGAATATTAGCAAGTATAAATTGCTCATTTCACATATTTAATGCTAAGTCAATCATTATCCCACGAACAGCTGTTTGAAATATTTCGTTTTTATTTATATTTTTTCGTCACATTACAAAGTTTATGACATTAGTCAGTCAACAAAAAGAAAAGTTGTCGGTGTTTAGTGTTGGTCTATTAAACATATAAAAATATACTAATTAAATTTCTAAATAGGTACTAAAAATGTCATAATTGAAGAGAATAAAGTCTTGTTAATCACGTAAACGACATTTTACTTCCGTAATAACAATTTTAATAACCCGCCTGTTCAACCGAACAGGCGGGTTATTACTATATGGGTATAGTAAAGGACCGTAACACGTCTACCACTGAATGAATTTGATTCGTGGTCAGAGAGGTTGTTTGGGGATTACAGTGAACCTTCGGCAGGTCAATAAGAGCAGGTAGCGTAACCGCGCGCACGGTGGTCGGTCGTCATTCAATACCCGCGCCTTCGGATTACGGCTGCCGATGTTATATGTATACTCTACCTATAATGATGAAGGGAACAAATTCTCATGAGATGTGATTAAGCATTTAGAAAAAAAGGTTTGTTCTTATTTGACAATGTTATTAAATTGGAAGTCTGTTTAATTTTGGACTGTAATATTCAGTCTCTAATTATGATAATTTCTTTAAACAAAATTTGACAATGAAAATTTCGCAAAGTCGCGTCCAACATTTCTGTTCAGGGGCTCTATTTTTGAATCATTCGTCTCGCGTCGAGCGCTCGTTTTCTACTATCACTCGCATACAACGTTCGCTAAGCGACGAGTGGTTCATACCATTCGTTGCAGTCGAGCGATTTAGAAATGGCGAATTTGTTAAGTCGAACGAAAATCAGTAGAAAACGAGCGCTCGACGCGAGACGAATGATTCAAAAATAGAGCCCCAGGGCTACACGAATGAAGCAAGCTCGAGTAAGTGAACGGGTATGACTCTACGATTACAGCATCCCGAGCAAGCATCAACCGCATCCCAATTAAGCACGTCTATATGAAACTTTCGACAACATTACTCACAAGCTCTCGACATAAGTTTCACTTTGCAAGAAATTCAATAGTAACCGGCAATTTATGAAGGCATCTTTTAGTGTAATTCATTAAATTTATCATATTATTTTCGTATAAAAATTACAGTACCTATAACTCTTCATTCGAAAGAAGTATTTTTATTATGTTTAAAAAAAGAGGTAATGACTCGGCAAATAAAGAGGAGCGTTTTAAAAATGGAAGATTTTAATCAAGAGCAAGTAATAACCGTCGACGAAGAGCGAACGGGGCCAAATTCAATTTCCCTAAGACTGAATACGTGATAAATCGTTCCGAATCGGCCATTAGATGTGACGCCGCGTGAGGGCCCGTACCGTCAGCAGTTTACACATCTTATTGCTTGTCTTGCAGTCACCGTCCCCGTCGCGTCGTGCAATAAAAACATCAACCGTATTGACCAAAATAACTCTTGGCACCCATTCGTGACTCTGACTGTACTGTAAGTGAAGCGATACGTGATCTTCACGGAACTTATAGGTGTTAGGTCGCTATCGTTATAATGTAGGTACACTTGCAAGTAATACCTCTTTCGACGTAACTGCAAATGTGACAATAATTACAGAAATTGAATCGATCTATAATATAATATAATCCACTAACTGACGCGTATTAAAGTAATGTCAGAATATATTTAACCGCAAAAAGAAAATTATATGCTTATTCCTAATTAATAGAGTTCAACAGAATATTTACTGATTATAAATAGAAAAATAAGTTACATATTATGTCCTTTTTTATAGGAAAATATTTAAAAAATTTAACCATGTCGTATTATGCACGCAAAATATTAAAATATTTTTATAAATTATATATATTTTTTAATATTTCTTACATAATATATGTAAGAAATATTTAAAAAAGCACTTAAAATTAGAAAGAGCATGGTTTGTATTTTTTTGTAAATTACGCAAATTTAAACACAGTAAATGCATTTTTGTAACGTTCTTCTTTTTTAAATGACATTACCTATTTATTTTCTAATATTTCTAAGTAATTATAATATTGTTAAATTGTATATTGAAAAAAGAAGCAAATATATGTTGTATCACTTTCGGCCTTGTGTAGTAATGAATCACCGTAAAACTCGTTACTGGTTACATAAAGATTTTTAATTTTCCCTAAAGAATAATATTTTAAGTAGTCATAAACAAAACTACCAGAATAATTAAGAATCATTATTATACGTGCAACTATTTATGGTATGAGTCTAATTGTCTGATAGTTTGCAAACCACATTGTTAAATTTTTTAGTTATACAAAGGAACTTTTGAAAATTTAATCATAAAGTATCACGGTTAAGATCATTAAAAACCGAGCTCATATTAATGTAAAAAGTAATATGTAATTTAGATACTATATTGAATTTAATTATTCTGCAAAATATGATATCAAATTGGTTTATAATATTTATCCACTTCACGTTTTAGTCACCCTTCTCAAATACATAAACTTGCGTAAAAACCGAAAACTATGTTAGGAATGCACAAAAGTATTTGAACAATTTGTTTGTTTGTTTTGAATTATTCGCAATAAATACTCACGTCTTGGATAAAATTTTGAATAATAACAGTCCATGTCACTTTTTAACTAAAACACTTCATTTATATCAATTTCACTTACAATCTGTTTATCATTCACTCACGGATTACATGTAAAACGTTTGACATTTCATAAAATAAGCTGCCAAATGACATCACAGCGCGCAGAATACGTCAAATCGTATGTAGGCACAAACGCGACTGAAGTGTATCGCGGGCGAACGATACCATACCGCGTCTTTCGAAAATTGCGCCATCCCAGTAAGCACACTCAGGCGAAATTAACAACACAAAAGCACCTTGAGCACACTTCATTCCCGACAGCTCATCTAAATGCGGTCTAATCTCAAAACTAGATAATGTTTACATCGCGAAATGCCGACACCCGAACGACCGGAAGTCGCAGAGAACCAAACACGACAACTATGTAAAATATTGCAGGATCGCGATCGCATTGTTGACATTCCCGAATAAAAATCACCAAAATCTTTAGTTAAATGTATGAAAATCACGAAAAAAGTATTTTTCACTTACCTAATATGGTGTTCGAAGGTGAAGTAAACGGGCGAATTTTGATAAAATGATAATTTCGGAGTTAATTTAAAGAATATACTCTTATTGGTATGCGAAGAATGGCACAAAGAATCCCGACAACGCACGCGACGAATGCGCACCTCGTTTGCGCATATGCTGACACAACTTCACGGACGTTACTCCCCTTACCCCGCAAACACCCGGTTTTTCTATGTTGTGTGTGTGTGCCCAGAGTGGTCAAACGTGAAATTTTGTGTATAGACACACGCACACATAGAAAGTATATACCTGCCCTAGCTTCCATTCTCCGCCATGTTTGATGAAAGAAAGAGAGAAAAATAGTATCTATTTCGAGCGTTGATATCGGCAGCGCCATCTATCATATTAACTGCAATATGGTAGTAGTTGCACGTTAGATGGTGTTAGTAGTTCATAAAAACCTGTCAATTTATACTTTTAGGTTATGTACCGTTCTATGTTATATTTTTTTATGTGTTTCGATATTATTTGGTAGCTTAGTGACGTGAAATATTTAATAGGTCTTAGGTTCTAATCAATAAGTGAAAATATCCTAGAAAAATGCTAAAGTTATGGCTGTGTAAAAAAATCTATTAGTGGTCCAACACAAAAATAACAAGTAGTAATCGTTATATTACGAGATATATTAATTAAGTAACAAAAAAACGAATGCAGATAATTCATAATTAAAATACCTCAAAAGATTTTGATGTGTTTATTGCCGCTTAGTTATATAGTTACAAGGTTACTGCTGCCTGTTCACGAAACTAGGCGTAGCTTTTTAACTTTCACAAATGTTTGTTACAGCTTAGAGCTGAATAATTTGTAGCATAGGTACTTTTGTAGGGTGTGTAACCTGTATTCATAATATACCTAGGTCATGAAAACAATTCATTTTAGACAGCATGTTTCATAGTGACATTAACTGCTTAAGATGTATAAAATATGTACAATCGCTACCTAATTAGAACTAATTTAACTCTAAAATTTAAAAACATCCAGGCTTGGTTCCCCAAGTGAGAACTAATTTTATATAAATGCAGCTTTTCTAAAAATATCTTCGTCCTTATGACTTATATTTTCAATCTTTCCCATATTCTTTTAATATTACACCCCATGTACAATACACAAAGATTTAGCTAATAAGCTATAAATAAAACACAAATGATTACAAGTAATTTAATTAGTAAAACCATAGATTGTTATGAAATCTTGGCATATTCAATTGTGTATGTTCATTGTTGTAACAATAAAATTTTATCAGTCACAATGTTATTTATTCTATTACATTAAATAAAATTATGTACATAGGTGACCAAACCTTATACACAGAAGGCCAGAACTTAAAATATTTCATACTAAGAACATAATCAAAGGCTTGAGATTGAGAGTATGAATACAGGCAGATATCTAAATTACAATTTAATAGTCAACCATTTGAGCATTTAAATTAACATTAGATATTCAAAATTTACATTTTATTTGTTTTTTTTTTTATAATTTGTTGTTACAGCTATTATAGGTATTTTGAATTTTAATGTTATTGTTTTAAGTGATCAAACATGAATATACAAAAATATAGTTAAGTTGCAAACCAGGATAAAATTATAATGTAATAAAAAAACTTTTATATATGTTTTGCTAATAAATAATAATCAAAATAATTACAACCTGCTTTTAAATTTTATTATTTTATCATATTTTTGGATATATATATATCTTAAACTAATTGTTAATTTGGCATGAATAATATAATATTTTGTTGAAAGCTATCTAAGGAAATCAAACATATTTTACAATTGTTAATTGTCTTTTAATGAGCAATTTTGGAGAGTTAAAATAAATAAAAATGTAATAAGGTGTCCAGTTTCATATGGCCATTTAAGCTTTTAAAAATATAAACCACATATGAGCATGAAATAAATTATCACATCAAAGTGTTGTGAATGCTATCAAATAAAATAACATGATCTAATCTATTGTTAAAATATCAAAATTATCATATAATAGAAGTACTTAAATATACCAATGTTGTGTATTAAAAAAATAGTACAACGAATATTTACATATAGCTTTAACTTTATTTTTAAAAGCTTTTTTTAAGGAGCTGATAGACCTAAATCAATAAAATTGAGCCTATTTCTGAAAGTCTTTCAGTCTCCTCAGCCATAAGTTTTGTTCTGGTGGAATCTTTGAATTCAATTTTGAAGTAGATATCTTTAACCGATTGGGCTGAAATTTTGTATACTTGTTTTGTTTGGATGACAATTCATGATAAGGTGTGTGATGTCATTGTAAATCTAATAAGGACTATCAAGATTGCGGAATAGTTATTCATAATCTACTTCTCGTGTAGTAGTGGATAAGCACCGCGGCCCGCGATCGTAGTCGCAAAAAGCAACTTTCGCAAGGGTCGGTCACGGGATGGGTGACCAAAAAAAAAATTATCTCGAGCTACTCCGTGCTTCGGAAGGCACGTTAAGCCGTTGGTCTCGACTGCATTTCTTTAATACCCTCCAATCCGAATTGGGCCACCGTGGAGGGTCATGGCCCATCCTCCTTAACTGAAGGCCTGAGCCCCTGCAGTGGGGACGTAAAAGGGCTGGTGATGATGATGATGATGAATCTACTTCTAAAATATGGTTGTCAAATGAAAGGGCTTCTTGAGAGTAACTTGAAAAATAATGTGGCATTATTCTAAATCCAATATGGCGGAATATCCAAGATGACGGAATATTTATTATTTATGCACTTCTGCAATGTGGGTATCAGATGAAAGGTCTTGCCAAGAATTATTGGAAAAATAATGTGACATCACTAAATCCAATACGGCGGCGGCGGCACCATTGGAGTTTTTTATGCTTTAAAAAAATTAACGATATAAACCGGCAAACGACCTTGCAACAATGATACATTGAATGAAATGGACAGACATAGGAACCTAGCCAGTGATAAGTAAAAATAAATAAAAGAAAAAAAAATACTTTATTTAAGCGCTCTAAAATAAATAATAAAAAAAAAATCTTTTAATATTTAACTACCAACTTATATGTATGTAGTCATAAAAGCTTGTTGCGAGGTTAAAGTACCCACAAATATTTTGAAATTACATTGAAATTTTAAAAATTTAATTTAGCAGATTTTACAGAATTGAATTGGTGCTTGTTTATTTATACAAGTAAATCGCGCATCTAGCTTTATGATCATATAAATTGTGTACAATGAGGTTATAAGTTGGTAGTTACAATTTAAAAGGAAAATTTTATTTTATTCTTTTTAGAGTGTTTAAATAGAAGCTTTATTTATTTAAAAAGTTTTATTGGTTTTAATTTTTGCAAGATCGTGTTGGCAACAAAAACAAAAATAATTTGTAACCATTTTGATACTTTATTGACAGAGCCTGTTTCATATTTTTTCTTCCTCATTAGTATAAATAGCGTATCGTATCTTATGTAAGCATGTTATCTGTTGTATAACATGAATCATCAATGCTTTGGTAGGGTCTTTGGAAATTTAAAATATAATAGTAAATGAAGCTGTAATCTAAATAATTGGAAGAAAATTAACGACCTGTAGGGATCTTTTTTCAACAATAATGACAGACAATGTGTCAAGTAATTGCGCATAGCTGTGCGTACGCTCAATTGCGTCACACTGCGTACGTATCGCTCAGCTGTTAGTTTGTACTAAATGTAATATTGGTTACTATGGGATGTGGACATATTTACCGGCTAGTCACATTTGATCTTAATTAATCAAAGGAATGCTCTAAGCATTGATTCATGTAGTTTATTGAATTAACGTTTACAAAAAAAAATTCTAACTCAAACTAAGCAGACTTTCATTTTAATTACTAATAAACATAGAACGATGACAAAATAAAATAATTAGGCGTAAGGCACAATGTTTTGACGTTAAAAATCTCAGATAAAGGTTTAAATTACATTCTTCTGCCCTGATCAGCCCTCGTAGAACTGCGATTGAGACGTCTTTAGTTAATATTTAAGCACTCCGCCGGTTAAAAACAGTGCTCTTTATTAGGAGACAATATATTATATATTATTTTATTATGTTTTAATAAACAGGTTTGTAGGTTTTGCGAATACAATCTGTGTTCCCAGGTTAGGATTTATCGATTGTTTGTTATAATGCTGGCATAATTTTAGGTAAACATCAGTAATCATACTCTTACTTTAAACTTTTGTGGTCATTAACATTAGAATTGTTTGCTATGGGATCGCTACCAGGTACATGGTAGTAATCAAATGATTATCCTATTTCCAAACTAATGCGAAACAATGTTTAAAACATATTTTTTCGAGACCTTTTGTCCAACATTCAAATGTAAAACGGAATGTTTCAGCGTCACACAAGATTAATATCACTCAAATAAATCTCCAAACTTGATTTATTTATCTTTTATTTTTTTCAAACACAAAATTAATGATGTTGTGTACATACGTAATTTTTAGCAACAATAGAAAATAGTTAATACTCATATACATAATGTTTCACTCGAAACTGATTTTTCATATAATGTCACAATAATAATAAGGTCGTAATAACAATTTTGTAAAGTCACAACATTTATATAACAATAACAAAATAGGTACCTAACGTTAAAAGTCAAAAAATGTTCTAACAAACGAAGAATAATACATTGTTACTTCTACATGTATTATACGAACTAACTTATTTTTTACTATAGCCCTAGATCTATAAGCTAGTGATTTTTAAAGCTATTAAATTAATAACTTAAGAATAGACG